AGGAGGCTGAGGAGCTGATGAGGAAGATTGAAAAGGAGGAAGAACAGTTGTCCTATGGAGATCCAGACAAGAAAATCTACCACCTTTGCATTGTGAATTTGGTGATTGGAACCCTTTACTGTGCCAAAGGCAACTATGACTTTGGCATCTCTCGGGTCATCAAAAGCCTGGAGCCTTACCATAAAAAGCTAGGAACTGATACGTGGTATTATGCCAAAAGATGCTTCCTGTCCTTACTAGAAAACATGTCAAAGCATACAATCATGCTGAGGGACAGTGTTATTCAAGAATGCGTCCAGTTCCTAGAGCACTGTGAAATTTTTGGCAGGAGCATCCCTGCTGTTCTAGAGCAGCCCTTGGAGGAGGAGAGAATGCACACTGGGAAGAACACGGTCACGTATGAGTCGAGGCAGCTGAAAGCTTTGATTTATGAGATCATAGGGTGGAATGTGTAATTACTTCTAAAAAGGTCTTTAGAAAAGCTTTTTAAAATTTATATTTCGCTCTCTTCTTCTGTATTTTTCTGCATGTGTTTATATTTGTTTCAGGTTTGACTCTGTATACTTGAAAGTCAGCCTTTGCACCTTGGTAGCCACTGTGTGATATAGGCTGTAGGACACTGTCCACAGCTGGGACAGTGGCGTCTCTGCAGAGGCACAAGCACTCGGCAGCACTTACTGTTTGGGCTTTGGGCTGTTGAGGGGACTTCGCGCTAGTGGCCTCCTGGTACACAGTCCTGCTGTCACTGCCTAGTAGACCCAGTTGCTGGACCTCAGCAAACCATCTCCATCAGAAAGAAAAACCAAAGGCAGGCTTTTTTCCCGTGGTAGACTGTGCTGCCCAACTAATCTAATCCTTGACCATATGCCTTTAGGTGTTTTTATTTCTTTTGGTTGGTTGCTTTTTGGGGGGCCTTTCTGTTCTCTCACTTCCTGGACTCCTTCAAAAACGAAAGTCTAGTTTGGATCTTGTCTAAGGAGTTTTGAAAGGACAAATACTAAATAATGGAATCATTTTCCTTTTTAACCAATGGTGCCATTTTTCTTTCATGATGTTGTTGGTTAGTTGGTTCTTAGGTTTTATCAACATTTCATTTCTCTTTCTGCTTTGGGTTTTTCATAGTTGAACATACCTCATAAATACTACGTGTAGAAGTTTGTTTTTTAAAAGCCGTGGGGGAGGCATGCAGGTGCTGTGATGTTTGTAGAGGTCAGAAAACAACTTTAAGGAGTAGGTTCCCCTTTCTCTTAGGAGTCTCACGGGTTAAATCAAGTCATCAGGCTTGCCCAACAAGGGCTCTTACCAACTGAGCCATCTTGGAAGCTCAAGTTTGGAAGCTTTTGAATGTCTTTAAAGAGAAGTGTTGAACTGAAAATGAAAAGCAAATTAAGAGACACACTGGACTGGCTTTGTCCAGTCATAGGTCTTAGGCAACCCACATACTCCTCACGGTCTTTCAGTCCTTTCAGCTACAAGGCCCTTTCTACAGCTGCTTTTGGCAATACAGTCTATTTCAGTAAAATCCATACAAAAGAAAGTTGCCTTCTATAACCTGGAATTATAAGTCTGGTCAAAATGAAATACTTAACTATTTCAAATTAATGTTCACTTGGCTTACAGAAAATTTTAACTCACAACTTACTGTTAATAAAGAAATTTGAATTTTTTCTTTTTACCTGGTGTTTTTACTTACAACTCTAGCTGTGAATGTATACAAGGGAATCCCTCTCTTGTGCTACACTGTGCATAAGCTGTTTTGTGTTGATAATTAGAAATGATAAAATTATCTTAATTTCCTTTTTCAGTTGATTTAATAATACATATTTTTTCACTGAAGGAGAGGTTTATCTTTAAGTAGTCCCTAACATGAAGAACTACCTTTTGGTTCAGAACTTGTACTGACTGGCCATTGGAATGTGCCTATCCACACATTCATATACAATTTACACAATTATTCTTAGAATAAATGGTGCCTCCCCTGCCCTGAGGTGAGGCCCCAGCTGCCAGCCCACCTGGAACTAGAGGAGCAGGTGAAGGGAAGGTGTCATAGAGACTTAGCTATGTGCGATACTTCACAGCCCACCACGTGTCTGCTGCATGTCCGCATCTCAGCGGTTAATCAAATGTCTCCTGCCATTAGCTGAACAGAAGTCATGGCTCACAGAGTGAAAGTAACTGATGCCAGAACTGTTTCTGTAACCAACTCACCAAATCAGATCATCACCCCTCACAGTCTCATTTAATACAAAGGAAGGGTGTGCAGGCTCCCCAAAAGGACAAAGTTACCTACACAGGAGGACAGCCCCCTGTTCATAAAGCTTTCTCAAGGAGCACTTTCTTTTCCTGCCTTTAAGAGCTTTATTAAGAGATAGTGTGTCCAGTGATGCAGAATGTATCACAAGATAAACGAAAAGTCTGTCTCTCTTACCAGCCTCCTTTTCCTACTTTTATCTTCTCCTGATTGTCAGTTATAGGTACACTCTCCTGATAGCAGCTCAAAGCACAACCAGGTATGAGAAATGCATACTAACCCTGAGCAGGAAGTACTGGGCACGTGAGCCTTCTGATTTCAAGGTGACGCTTGAAGTTCTTTAACTGCATTTTTGTACATTGAGGCAATGTTTTTAGAGAAAAAGTTGGCTTTGAGAGGATGCAGCAAAAACACAAGGCCCGTGTAATTGGTAGAACATGTGGAGCTTCATATTTGCAGTGATCTCTGTCTTTTCCTTTCAGATACTTTCACGCCAATAAGACAGCGACAGCTTTACATGTGTAGTATTTTTAGTGTTAGAAATGCCCTGTGGCATCACAGATCACATACAATAAACTCTAGAGGAGATTTGCCCTTCTGTATCCATAAAAATCTTATAGCGAAAAACAGGACCAGACATTACCGATTTATTATCCATAGAACATTTAATATTCTCTTGGGGAGCAAGTCTCTGCATGCTGATTAGACTTGCATCTGCTATTAGTTGAGGTTGTTTTTGGTGGTTTAAGTAAGTCAGCTTTCTTGAACGTGGTCCTAGATTGATCCACCACAGTCCAAAATCCATGTTGCATCACACAATGTATTTGAATAGGGATCATCTTCATAGAGAACATTTTCAGCAGCAGTCTTGGCAACTGCTATTTTATTAAGTGCCCACAAGCTCTTACGATGTTAAAATTTAGCAAAAAGTTACCAGCTGTTTTAAGTTTTCTGGTCAGGATTTGTTTTATGGAAACACGGCCTCTTAATTTCTGTTATTCCTAGTTCACCAAACATATATCCTATAGCTGATGTACGTGTACGGAAGGAATACAGCCTGTGGAGAGCATAGGCCCCCATTCCATGTTTAAGCCAGGAAGAGGCAGCCACACCCTAACACTATGAAAAGAAACCCTCGGGAGACAGTTGGCTGAAAAATCTGGTTGCAAGGCCTGGGCACTTGTCAGTGTTGTGTATGTGTGTCCTGGAAAGGACAAGCCTCCCTTTGCCGTTACCACACCACTTTAGTTTCTGAATTTTTATTCTCATGCTGAGTCTTATTACTAAACAGTTTTTGAAAGAATACAGAGGAACAGAGAGCAACATGGTTTGCCTGAGATGCTGCAGGCTGCTTCAGAGACTAAAGAGAGTCCCTCTTGACAATGTACATAGGCTAGATGATGGGATGATGGCAAAAGTATCAAAATACTCTGAAAATATCCAGGGGAAATGTAAGCTGGGGGAGCGTACCTATAATCTTTTACAATATTTATAGACAAGACCTAAATAGATCTTTTAATGCAAATTTGGTATTTAGTAATACCAAATGTAGAAGGCATTTCATGGCAGAGCCAGAACAAAGAGGGCTTGGGACAGCTCTCTTCTTCACTCAGACAACTGAGTCCCAGACGTAAATTTGACCCGTCCGCAGTAAGAAAGCCGTCTACCACTGCTACCATTCCCTTCGCAGAGCTATGACTTTCACTACATCCATTGCTGATTATGTAACTGATGGGTTAGTATTCACTATGGACTTGTGAGTACATTCCTGGGCTGATCTAGATTATACTATACTTTCCAAAAGTGCTCAATGGATCTGAATGAACACCTCATGCTTCTGGTAGTGGTTGCAGTTCGCTGCAATACAATCTTATCACTTCCTTTTGTGATTTTCTTTTCTATTCCACCCAGTACTGGGAACCAAACCCACTGACTTTAGCATTCTTCCACTGAGCTAAATTCCCAGCCTTACCTCTTTTCTTTACAATAACTTTTTATAATCCTTAGGTCAGTGATTTTTATAATGGTTTCCAGCTACCAAACATGTACTAACAACTGTCAAGAGGCTCCCTACATACAGTTCAAGTGCATGGGCTGGGAGGCACTCAAGAGCAGAGACCTTGTACTCTTGAGCACTTGCCTGACCACTGACACTGCAGTGTACACGATAAACCTGCTTCTAGGAGGATGGAAGGAAAGGAGGAAGTGTGGGAAGGAGGAAAGGAGGGAGGGAGGACAAGATATAGATAGCAGAGTTAGCTGGCTCCGAAGAGTTTACAGTGTCACTGGAGAAGTCTGGGGCTCTGTAAACCTTCACCTTTACCTGCAAAAAACATTTGAGCCAAGCCCTTCAATGCTTGCCTTTCTGGAAGATGGGTGCTGGTTTTGTCTTAGGTTTTTCAGAGAGGAAAAAAAAAAAAAGCGCAAAGCAAGAACAAAATTAAATATGGATTACCTGGTATTTCTCCACCCCCACACCCCAAAATACACATGCACACTTTTATTTAGTAATCCTCTGTTTCCACATCAGAACTAGGTAGTAAACCAAAATACGTACAAATGCTGAGGACCTCACCTCTGATAGTTACGTTTCAGGTTGCAGAGATGAGAATGGGAGGAGGGGTCAATTCTTAAGCGAAGCCAAATGATGCTGATGTGTAGCCAAGACTGAGAACCTTTGTTCTATACAAACTCCATAGTGTCCATGTAGGTGTCACAGGCAGGGGCAGAGGGGGAGAATAAAACGACTCCGTAAAAATATGGAACAAAATAGAGAACTTAAGGTATTCTGCCTGGGGTATTCTGAGCCATTTTTAGACATCTTTAAAACCAACAAAACCTTGTAATGTTTCTTTCTTAGCACGCCCTGCAGAATTCTTCAGCAAAGTTTGGCTTTCCCAGAAGGAATCTGAAGAATTCTCCAGCTGCTAGATGCTGTGAGATTCAACAGCAGAAATATTTTAATGGAGGCTTCCTTCAGGCTGGGGAGACAGCTCAGTGATGAAGGTGGAGTGCTCTTGCAGAGGCCCCAGGTTAAATTCCCAGCATCCACCACCAGTGGCTCACAAGTGCTAATACTGCCAGCTGCTACATCCAGTGCCCTCTGCTGGCCTCTTGGAGCAACTGCACTCATGTGCATATGTCAGCACACACACACACACACACACACACACACACACACACTATCTTTTTTCCTAAAGAAAGCTTCTAGAATTTACCAGTATGTTCATTCCCTTTTCTTCAAAGACTCATTAATGTAATTTACTGCTGTGGGAAAGGGAAAACTTTCTCTACCCACTCATACTCAGGGTTTTAGGATGGAACAGATTTCAAACAGATTAACGGGACAAATAAGACCCAAAGAAATAGATAGCTCTAAGTGTTTTTATGTGGCTTGAACAAAAAACAGTAACTATGATTGAAAAAAAAATCCTAAGAGAGATGGCAGTTTAATAAGGTTTGTTTGTACAATTTTCCTCAGTTTTGACTCTCCATTGGAGAAAGGGTATTTTCCAGGTGGGCATTTCATCTGTAGCTTACAGAAAGAAAAAGAGAATTCCTCTATCATGCCTTCTGTGTTTTAAGCCTCTCTACTTCAAAATAATGGCAAAGCAGTGCATATCAGAGGGACACATCTTAAAACCCTTCACTGTCATCACTAGTTTATTATGCCCAGTTGGAATCAAAAGAAATTCTAAGCATACTTTGTTAGAATCATTCTTAACAAGCCGTTTTGAATGCACCAATTTGACTTCTAAATACAGACCACCCTTGTTTATTCTCCCTGCAAACACAAATTGTCTCCAAACAGACCACAATCCTCTATGTGAACGTATATGTGTGCATTGGCAAGCAATACTCGATCGATCATTAGAGGCAGTTGTGCTCTTTGACCACAGTCTTTTCAGGCTCCCCCCAACTTTCCAAGTAGGCCTTGTGCTTTGAAAGGCCAAGCTCGTTTCTGTGTTGTCCAGTTTTAATAAATTCACCTGGAACCTCTCAACTCTCACCCTTGTTGTGGTGTTTTTTTCTCCCAGCCCGAAGCTCCTGAAATAAAGGCTCATGAAACTCAAAATATATTTGCAAATACCTAGGCCATATAGCTAGGCTCTTCTCTGACCAGCTCAGAACTTAAAATAACCCATTTTACTATCTTCATGTTACCATATGGCTGGTTACCTCTGCTCAGGTACCATGTTTTTGTCCTTCTTACATCTTCCCAGGTGAATCTCATGCCTGGCTCTATCCCAGAATCCTGTCTGCTTTCTATTCTACCCTTTCCTGTAAGCCATAGGTGTTGTTTTGTTTTTTGTTTTGTTTTTTTCAATTAACAGGTGATGCTTCCATACAAACACAAAAATTCCTTCTACA